GTTGTATCTCCATTACAGGTTTAAGCTTCATGCCTTTACCCAGGGGGTCCCCCATATCTGCAGATCAGGTGCAACAAAAGGCCCTTCCTAACCTCCAAATCATTAGGGCTTTCATCTGTCTTGAAATTGTTGCATGTGTATATCTTTATATGTCTATCTTTCAGCAGAACAGAAGCTGCCTGAAGGTAGGAACCAGGGTCCTCTTTTTTTTATTCTTTCTTATTTTGGCTTTTGGAATCCTGGAGCCTCGTCTTGTACGTAACAATCACTCACTAAATGTTGAATTGAATCAAATCTGGTAATGTATATAAACCTTAAAGTCCTATTTACATATCAGTTAAAATGATGATGATTTTCATTCGCGGCTTTCTTAGAGGGGATTAGGGATGAAGGAGAAGGGGAAGGAAAAAGGAGAGAGTGAGGGAAAGACAGAAGGAGCAAAGGAAGAAGTCTATAATGATAATGTGCCAGTAAGGGATAGTTAAAGGTTTTTGTTGTTTAGAGAGACCAGAAACTAAAATGTATGACTACCAAAAATTGGATCTCTGGTTGTGATAGGAGACCTATGTGAACTGGGAGAGACACTTTGTGTGTACACTGCGACATTTGGGGCATCGTGTCTGGACTCTGAAGGATAAGTAGTCCAAGTTGGCTTAGATGTTACCTTCTTTTGGCCTTACAGAAAGACAACATGTCACTATATTAATTTTCCAGAAACAAAGTATAATAGATGAGCTGTCCAAAGGGTGCTGATCTACTCAAGACACTAGTAAAGTAGACTTAGATGGCAACAAATCCATTCCTGTCATTTTACAAATGAGGAAACTGAGGCAAAGAGAAGTTAAGTGATGTGCCCAGGGTCAAACACTTGCTAATGTTTAAAGTAGGATCAAGTCTTCATGACTCCAAGTCTACTACCCATTCTCTATAACGTATGTATCAAACACAAGACAAACATTCCAGATTAAAATATAATTGGGAAACACTTAATATAATAAAAATACAAATTCGATGCCATAGTTCTATCCCATCTCTCACCTCCTGCATCTCACCAATGATGAGATTTCAGTAGCTGTCAGTCCACTGGCTACTCTGGACTCATCTCTACTGTACTGATCTGACACCTGGACATCCGTGTGCCATCATTCATCCGATTTAACCTGGGGCAGATTGAGTTTTTGGTTAAGGCAACATCAACAGCCATTGGCAATGTGGCCCAACAGTCCAATTCCAAAGTATTATTTAGCCACACTGCTAAGATATCTCCCATGGATCTTGCTATACTTTCTTCTTAAGCCAGACTACTACTGATCATATGGCTTTCAGGACTTCCCTTCAGGACAAAGGGAGAAGAAAAAGGAACCCATACACCCATATAGATCTAATCACCTCCCAATGTCTCACAATTTTGTTTCCCCTGGTAGTTCCTCAAATGTCCCAGAGGAGATGAAATGCACTGCAGAAACATCTAATGAATCATTATCTTGCCAATTTCTTTCCAAAGTACCAGTGAACTTTGGCCCTTCTCATTTTAAACTATTTGCTATTCTCAGGATATATATAGTTCCTTATTTAAATGCTCAAAAAATCTAACTACAAGTCTAGGTGTCTGGGTGCCTGAGAGAATGACCTTCCTTTCCTTAATCACCATTACCTAAGAGAGGGACACAGATCTTTATCCTTACTTTTCACAGCAATACAGCAGATGTAACCCTAATTTTGGTTAAACGAAAAAGGTACAAGTGAATCTATAATTTATCATTCAAGAGCATTTATCAAGTGCTTATTATGTGCTAGGCACTGTACTAAACAAGAAGGACCCAAATATGAAAGTAAGGCATCTGTTCTCAAAGAGTTTACATACTATTTTTGTAAAATGTAATAGTAAGAAAGGTCTTCATCAAACAATAATTTCCCCTTATAGCTAAACGAATGGGAGAATTCCATAATTTCTCCAAAGAAATACTGCTAGTTCTTAAAAACTACCGAACTCACACATTACTTGACTTTCAGAGAAGTAGGTCTGGATGATAAATATCCTGTCCATAGCCCAAATCCTAATCTTGGACCTTGGCCCCTTGCCTGAGGACCTGTCTTCTCAACAACTCTTCCAGTATATTTCTGCCAGTTTAATGTTATTTTTAAATTTTTATTTCCATTCTAAATTCTCTCCCTCTACTCGTCTCACTCATTATGAAGGCAAGAAATGACACCCATTATACATATGACAGGGCAGCTAAGTGGAACAGTGGATAGATGCTGGGATTAGAGTGGGGAAGACTCATCTTCCTGAGTTCAAATCCAGTCTCAAATATTTACTAGCTGTGTGACTCTGGCAAGTCACTTAACCCTGTTTGCCTGAGTTTCCTCATCTGTCAAATGAGCTGGAGATGGCAATGGCAAACCACTCCAGTATCTTTGCCAAGAAAACCCCAAATGGGGTCAAACATGACTGAAATGACTGAACAACATACATATGAAGTCATGTAAAACATATTTCTTCATTAGCCGTGTTCTAAAAAAAAAGCAAGAAAAATAAAGGAAAAAATATATATTTCAATTCGTACTCTAGACCATCAATTCTCTCTCTGGAGGTGGACAGCATTTTGCACCATGAGCCCCCTGGAATTGTGGTAAATCATTGCATTGATCAGCTAGTAAGTCTTTCACAGCTCATTTTCCTTACAATATTGTAATTACTATACAGATTTTCTCTTGGCTCTGCTAACTTCACTTTTCATCAGTTCACGTAAGTCTTCCCAAGTTTTTCTGAAACCATCTTCGTCATTTCTTTTTCTTTTTTCTTTTAAGGCAATTAGGGAATACGTGACTTGCCCAGGGTCACACAGCTAGTGTCAAGTGTTTGGTCGGAGGCTGGATTTGAACTCAGGTCTTCCTGACTTCAGGGCCGGTACTCTATCTACTGCACCACGTGGCTGCCTCTAATCTTCATCATTTCTTATAGCACAATAACATTCCTTCACATTCATATACCCTAACTTGATGGGCATCCCCTTCAGTTTTCAATTCTTTGCCACCATAAAAAAAGAGCCGTTATAAATATTTGTATTACATGTGGGCCCTTCCCCTTTAATCTTAATATTATTTCTAATTATGTATTTATCACATGTAAAATGAAGTCAATATCGCTTTATTTGAAGATATGGTGGACAAGATAGATCGCTTAAAAGTTCTTTCCAGCCTAATAGCTAATTCTAAAATAAAATTTATGTTCCCTCTCAAAACCAGCTGCTTTGGACAACTATTTCTTTCATCATTCATTTTCCTGACCCACAGTTTAAACTTGGTAGGCATCTTAGATTTTTCCTATCAGATTGTTGTTACTGAATCACGTTGGACTCTTTGTGACCCCCATTTGAGGTTTTCTTGGCAAAGACATTGGAAAGGTTTGCCATTTCCTTTTTCAGCTCATTTTACAGATGAAGAAACTGAGGCAGAGTTAAGTGACTTGCCCAGTCTGAAGCTGAATTTGAACTCAGAAAGACCAGATTCTCACTCTAGGTTTGATATTCTATCTACTGGACCACTTAGCTGCCAAATCTTATGAGAGGCTTCCACTCCAACTACTACCCACATTCTAAGCATGTCACGTGCACACATTGCTGAGGTGGTTTCCCCTTTTGGAACAATCTATTCTCTACTTATCACCTACCAAAACAAGTTCCTCTTTCCTTAAGTCCCATCCTCTCCCTTCCCTGACCATGTGAGATCATGGCTTCTTTTAAAATACTCCTAATTTTTCCACACTCTTCCACTTTGAGATGCTTCTCATGCTGCCATCTATAATTATTTAGCAGCTCTCTTACTTAGCTACTTAACTTTTCATGCAAAGTCTTGTCCGCCCAACAAGACTATCAGCGCTCCTTGAAAGCAGATTGTGAATTACACTTTTTCGTATATTCCATAGTGCTGTATACTAATGAAGAATTTTCTTTTATGGATCATCACGCAGCTACAATCGAGCCTAAGAGGGAACATGGTGGGAAAATTTGGTGCTTGAGATGGGATGCCACAATTCTCATACTAAGTATGAAAGGCGCTAAAGAAGTCCTGAGCAGGGAATATTCAAGTGGCAACCTTCCAGGCAAAAGGTAAATGTAACAGTAAAAATGAGAACTATGATTTCATCTGTGTTCTTTCCATGTTTCTGTTTGCTAGGCAGTACATGAAGTTAGATTTTGAAAAGCGAAGAGGCAATTTTGGGAACTAGTTACTTTTATTGTTCAATTTTGCAGGGAAAAAACATCTAGGTCAGATGAAGATTTATTTCTCTGGGTCCGTTTCCTTACCTATACAATGAAAGATGTGGAAAAAGTCATCTTTCGAATTTCTTCTTGCTAACATTCTGTGAGCCTAAGTCGATTTCCTTTGTAGAGAACTATCATTGATGTCTTCTGACTCTACAATTCTATCACTACTGAATGATAAAAGAGCACATTTTACCCCCCCAAAACGAAATAAGCCAAAGTATGAAGACAGCAAGATCAATGGCTTTATATTAAAAAAAAAAATACATACACACTGAGCACCTTTACCCTTCCATGGTCCTTTACATAGCGGTAACAATCTCTAGTCTCAATGTACTTGTAATAGATTATTAATTTTTAATGAATAACTAAACTGTTGTTGAAGCATTTCTTTCAGAATGAGTGAAGGCACTATAAAAATTCAAGGTGGTGCTTCTAGTAAGTCAGTTAAACTGAGTGGTCACGTCATTTCTGAAAACTTCAAATTAAAGCAATGTGAGGATTGAGAACATTTCTTTTACCAGCACAATGAGACAAGTGATGACACTAACAATAATTAGCCCTCTTGAAAAGTTACTTGGTTTTTAGAAAAGGAACACATAGTGATAGTCATAGATCAATGAAAATATATTGACATACAGCATATTAAATTCAACGTATAATTTCCCGCAAGTTACCAAATCCTACATCTCAGACATGTAAAAATATCGGTTACAAAAAATACACACACAATCAAGCAAAATATCTTTAATTAGTAAGGTGATCATAAATAATTCCACATAAAAGATTTAACAGAATTACAAAGAGTGTTTCTTATGTGGACTCCATTCTTAATATGTATTAGTCAACCTCATTCTCTAACTGGGACAAAAAGATCTGTCATCAAACATCCAACAATGTAGCACATTTTAAGCAATTCATATTCTGTAGTTACATTTTTACATTTCTTTACAAATGTAACATTTATGTACATTATATATTTTATTTCTACAGTACGTGTATTGAAATTCTATAGTCTTCACTGGGAAAATGGTGAATCCATTTAATGAATACGAATCATTCCTGGTTAAAAAGTAATTCATATAAACAAATAACCTGGTACCATTGCCCTTTGGCGTCTCTCGTCAGAGTTTAAGTTCGGAAATATTCTATTAAATGTAAGAAAAAGGATTTATCTAATTTTACATTATGAAACATCATTCCACATAGCTACATAAATTTGCCAGCTTGCAATTAATAGGACCGTACTGCTGCACTATTGGAAATGTGTATAAACCAATTTAAAATGTAGTTAGTGAAATAGCATCATCATTACTAACTTTTAATTTAGGCTGAAATAAATCCTTCTTCTAGCAGACAATTCTTCACCTTTAACTGTCAAAGCTTCAGAAAGGGTGGGGTGCATTGCAAATGCTTTCTTTCCAAATTTCCCATGTGCTTCTCTGACAGCTTATGCTTGTCTCAAAAGTCATGATGTTTTTCTTCTTCTTTGGTTCCATTTCACTTACAAATCTGCTGCTGAACATGAAGCAAAAATTCATAGTAAGAGAATGCAGCCTCTGTCCGGTCTTCAACTAAGTGCTGGAAAAAGTCTGTCTTGGCAGGACTCTCATCCCTGAAAAGGGAAAGAAAAAACATTAACTGGAGTCATTAAAACCTGGTCTCAAATACAGGTCAAACTGTACACTTCAAGACTTATCCCTATCACCAAGACAGATTCACAAGCACTCCACACTGAACAATACCATCACCAAAAGATTCATCCGATGGTGAAACTGATCTTAGCTAAGCTAGTACTTGGGTGAAAGACAGAGTCCCTCACTGGGCTCATATGCAAAACTCTTCTACTCTGGCAAGATGTCAAAGTTTGTGCTCTGGTAGCACAACTTTCAAGAGCTGAGGAGCTCTCGGTTCCTTCCATGAAATGAAGTGGGATTGGAACAAGATTTCTGTTAGGGAAACAAATACTAAATGCTCAATAGAGAAGAAAAGTACTTGGATTGAGGATGTCGATTGTAAGTTGAATTGAAACTAAAAGAAATCACTGAACCCACTATACTTGTTATAATTTAAAATAAGAAATTAAGACTAGGCATTCTATATTAAAAAAGAGAAAGGATATGTGCAGTACAGAGGATATTCCGAGAGGCTAAGTGAATGTTACTCTTTTGTTTTAAAATAATTCAGTCTTTTAGGGAAAAAAATCAATCACTTCCATACAGATGTACAAAGGAAAGGTAAATTCCATAATAAAGTTATGAAAATACTTACTTTATCACATGGAGAATTGGACACAATGGCCTATTGTCTCTAAGCCAGGAAAGAAAGGACCTGGTTCTTTCTGAGGAAAGTGTATCTAACTCTGGAAGATGTGTCTAGGTCAAAAGATGAGATAAGAATGTTACTTCTTTTCCTAAGGGCTTTAGTAGAACTGTTAGAATTTAAACTTATTAAAAGAAAAGCAACAGAAAAATGAAGAAAGCTTAATTTTGGATAAGTTTTAAGTTGAATTTACCACTCTATTACTGAAATTAGTAGAACACGTCCAGGAATTAGTATGCCATTGAAACTCTTACTATATCATTTTTTCTCTCTAAATAGGAATAAATCTTGATATGTAAGTCGACTATGGAAGAGGCTACTCCTGAATGATAGATTATTTACCACTATTCTAAGTATGAAAGAATTCCATCCTGTTTCCTTATTCCTTAAAATTTTTAAAAGGACACTTTAGAAATCAAAGATGCAGAAATACTGAGCTTTTTGATCCGACTTTTACTCCTTTCAATTTTTGTTTTTATGATTCTATTGAAATTAACACTAGTTAACAATAATGGTGGAAATATGACTCCCTCATTATTCAGGTCAATATACTGTAAATATCACTCTTCAACAGCACTATATTCAGAAGCAATTTTTTTCTTTCCTTTTTCCTTAAAAGCAAAACAAAACAATAATAATAATGCCATATAATACTGACTTGCAAACAGACCGAGAACAAGAAATTACTTTATTTCTACTCAAAGCTTGTATTTCTATTTCTTACTGCTTATAGTAGACATAAGGTGATGCTACCATTAATGAAAAGCTTAAACTTTACAAATAGCCATGACTTAAGTTCTCCTCATTACATGTTGCCATATTACCAAAATCAAAGAAATACACTCAAAAGAATTCAGCCTTAAAAATGAGGAGCCATTTACATGCAAAAAAAGATGTCCAATTTCTCTTCACTAATTCCTAAATGGACTTGAACACTGAACACTTCAATATGTGATTAGTCACTATTTATACAATTCTTATAGAATCAAACGCTGCCACAAAATTGGCTTCTCCCAAACTGGAGTGCTCTGGTGTAAGAATGAGGAGAAGGGAGCTCCAATAACAGCAGACAGAAAAATGAGCTGGATCCCATGCTTGATTCTCTGATTCTCAGTGATCTAAATTTTGTTCCAAACTCTTATGATGATCCTCCAGAGCTTGATTGGGGAGAGGACTAATTAGCATTAGGAATTCTTCTTATCTGTCTCTGGTAATGATACTGACAAGGAAGGATCTAATCTATATCAATGGCTCTATAATTATGACTCCAAAGTATGTATGTCCATTTAGTACTTTATTTTCAAACGTATACACTGCCCCCCAGGTCATAATACCTACAATGGCCACTGGTAAAGAACATTAATGCAAGATTATAGTAAAGTTTTAGTGTTTTTTGTTTAAAAAAGAAAAAATACAGGTAAATTATTTTACAATATTAACTTATGTATGGAGTGATTTTAAGTATACAGTACCTAGCTTACAAAATGAAAATATATTCATTTTAATCATGAAATGGCAGGTGTTTACTTGTTTCCCTAATACTGTTACAAGTTTACAGGCTTATATGCCTCCCAGAGTTACAGTTAAAACGTCAGCTGAAGAGGCACCATTTATTATTGCCCAAAGCTAGCCAATTTAAGAAATATATAAACTGTATAAAATCACTGACCAGTTTCTGTGGTACTGATGCATAGTTTGGGTAACCGAGCACATCTTTTATGAAGTTATTATCACAGCTTTTCCCAATCCAGATGTAAATAATCTAAAACAAAAATAAATGAAAGCCCTCATTAGTCAAGAGAAGATCAGTCATAATTTCCCACATGTTAGCAGACACAAAAGAGCTCATATCAGGCAACAACCCAAAAGAAAACAGAACACCTGAGTAGTAGTAGTCTGTACTGTCAGTTGCATAGTGATTAATAATCTAGAACCCTCGATTTAGTAATAGCCTGCATATATACAGCTTTTCTTAAAGATTGCATAGATCATCTCATTTGAGCCTCACAAGAACCCTGTGAGGTGGGTGCTATTATTATATCCACTGTAGAGATGAGGGAACTGAGGCAGGGTGAGTAACTTGCCCAGGGTCACATAGCCAATAAGTATCTGAGGCAAAATCTGAACTCAGATCTTCCTGACTCCTGGCCCAAGCCTCTATCCACTGCAACGCTGAGTTGCCTCTAGAGGAGAAAGGCACCATGACTTTTGAAAGCAGCAAATAACAACTAATGTTCAAAGAAAAAGGACAAGACTGCAGTAAGAGTACTGTGTAAATAGAAAGAACACTGACTTAGGAGTTATGCAACACAGTTTGAAAATCTAGGCTTTGATGTTTACTATTTCTGCGACCTAAGCAAGTCACTTAGAACCTCTATGGTCCCCAGTTTCCTTATCTGTGAAAAAGAATGGGTAGGACTTGACAGCTTTTAAGATCTTTTCCAGCTTCAAATCTATCATCCTATAAAAACCTAAAATTGTACTAATGTATTTTGCTTTTCACATCACTATAGTTTCCCCAAGGACTCATAACATACTCTATTTTTTAAAGAAAAAAAGAACACAACTAATCAGAACACTGAAGAGGTCTGAGAACATGGGCAGTGTTCAGCCCTGCGGCCCTCCCACCTCAGCAAAGGGGAGGGGTGGCGGTGTCTTCCTGTAACTCTTCTTTTGAGTCAGGCTTGTTCTTTCTAATGTTGCAACATTCACTTTTTATTTTTTTTGGGTAGCTGTTCTTTCCATTTACACTGTTGTAGTCATTGTATACATTGTCTTCCTGGCAGTTCTACTCAATTCCCTCTCCATCAGTTTCATGGAGATCTTTCTAGGCTTCTCTGTAGTCACCACACCCAGTGATATTCATTCTATCACAATCACGTGGGACACAATTTGTTTAACCACTCAGTCTATGAGCATCTACTCTGCTTCCAATTCCTTGCTGTTACAAAATGTGTGACTACAAATATTTTGGTGGATTATGGGGACTTCTTTATCAAATGCTTCCGTGGTGTACAAGCCCAGTAATAAAATCTCTGGGTCAAAAGGTATGGATATTTTATTATTTGCATTAATTCCAAAATGCTTCCCCAAATAGGTTTGTGCTGATTCACAGTTACACAAACAAGGCACAAGTCACCTTCCCACAACTCCTCCAATACTGGCTATTGACATCTTTGCCAATTCATAGGGTCTGAGATGAAACCTTATGATTTATTTCGTAGTAAAGGCATATTTCTAGGCAGTAAGTCAAAGAAAATGATTGCTATGTGGTCAGAAATATTAATGTTTTATGAAAATATACAGTTTTATATAAGACAGGGTTTTATGGAGTAGTTATTTTATTGTGGATTTATTTTTGATACAGTAGCACCACCTATAGGTATATCACTGATCAGCACCAAGCACATAGCACACCCAAACAATATGTTTCTGCTAAAAAAAAACCCCAAAAAAACCCACCTTCCAATAACTACATGCCACAATGACACTAATCTCACGGAAAGTATTTCAGAAAAGCTCATTTACTTGGATGCTTTCCTTCTCTGGAGAGGCTCAAACGACAGTATTGCATATCATTTCAAAAGAAATTAGACTACTTTTGTTTGGGATTTGGAGAGATTCTGTTTTCATCTTTTCTTGTGAGAAGTGAAATGTGGTTAGGACCTTCTCTTGTCCCTATCCAAAGTGACCAGAAGCAATACTGGAAATAAAATTACAGATTCAAGTTTGATGACACAGCTGAAACATGTTATATCTATGCTATGTGACAGGAAAAAAGACCAAGAAAATTTAAGTTATCATCAGGGAAAATGCTAGCTAGTAGCCAAGTTCATAAGGATATCTTACATGGATCTCACTAAAACCACACAAAATATGCTTTAATCAAAATGAAATCTACAGGATAATAAAACAAACAAAAAAAACCCTTCCAAACTAGATATCTGGAACCATGAAGCTTACTAATTATTTTTAAAAGACTACTCAAGCCTATTCAAGAAAGAAAAAATGTCCCCTAATGAAAGGTCTTCAATCAAAAAATCTGCCTAACCCAAAGTGAAATTTAACACTGATTCAATATTAAGGACTTACAGAACCGGCATCCATAAGGAAGGCGCCCTCTCTTGTCAGCTTCTCTGCAGACAATTTTTGAAGAGGCGGCTGAGGCACTATTCTGTCACTGACATGTATTGCACCCTTTAAGGAAAATACAGAGATGGCTCCAGTAAACTTATGTTAATATCACCAAAACTAAAAGCGATTGGCGTTGCCGAAATATTTAGAAAATTTTAAAAACTAAAATTATTTTTCTCACAAAGTCTATTTTAAATACGTCTATCTTACAGTCTGTCACATGTAACTTTTTAGGCTCTACCTTTTCAGCCATATTCCTCGAGTATCAGGAGTTACTTGAGAATCCCATTTTTGAAACAGTGAAACAATAAGGAGACCATATCCTGAATATTGTAGGACTAGATAATCACAGTTTGAAATAGTATAACAAAATAGTCTTGGGTATGTAGCAAAGTCTGTAAATTCTGTGAACTTAATTCTTTCAACTAACATCAAAATATTTGTGTTTTGGTGCTACAATGATAGTTTCTATGAATTTTGAAAAAGAGCGCTTAAGGCACCTCTTTAGGGCAGGGCATCATATAATTTTTACAATCACCACCCAAAAAAGAGGATACAAAAAATAAAGAGGACAGACAGTCACTGACCACGTTCTGGGCTGCAGACGATAATGAATTACTTATGCATCAAAAGAGTTCATACCTCATCAGTCAGTTTATCTATTCTGTACAGGTTGGGATGAATGATTTTCATCAGATGAACAAGTGGCTGACACTTCATCTGGCACATGGCAAACACACGATCATCCAGGCGGGTGCTAGTACCAGTTCTAAATGCTTTCTATGAGGAAAAGTAAGGTAAATTAAAAAGTTACCTAAACAACTATAGGTTACATTTCATAGTTAGGAAGTATCTATTAAGAATATGAGTTATGCATTCTAGGTATAAGCACTGACAGATGCAGACTTGACAGTTGCAGGCAATCACATATTTGTAGTCATGCACCAGGCGTCCCTCATTCTGCACTCTATTCCTGCTCCACAGAAGTCCTAAAATGCTAGAGTATCCCACGCCCTGTATTATTGTACTTTAGAGTTTGTCTTAACTTCTGGAAATAAAAATACAACTTAGTCTGGTCTAACAACCCAAGATGAGGTAGGTACCTGCTTGAGCAGCGCCAAGACATAGAGAGGAAACAGCTTGAGGGAGGTGGGGGCTATGAGAGCAGACTGCTGCGAGGTGGAAGAGGTCTGGCTGTACGCAGAGAGGGAATCCACCACAGCATTCACTAAGGCATCTCTTGCATCTGATAAACTTGATGAAATCGACCGATCCACAGCTGGAGAGGTAGAGAGACCACATGAGCAATGACAGCAGCCCCAGGGCCAGAAAGCATGAAAAGGGGATTACTGTTACACTTGGTAAGAAGTGGGAGAGAGAATGAATAAAAATGAGCATCTCAACTAAAAACGGACAGAACAGAAACAATCCTCAAGTCCAAGGATGGGCTCTCTGGGGTATTTCTTAGGTGAATTCTTCTCAATTCTAAAATCACTTAATGGCTCTACAGGAGAGAAAGCAACTACTTCCCAGGAAGTGCTCAAAGGTATTTCCAGGACTTAAAGGGAAACCGCACGAATGTGGCTCATACCATGATTTCTAGCTGACATAACACACTTTAAGGTTTACAAAGAGCTTCACACAGATTACCTTCGTTTATTCTCACAATCGCTTGTAGGCACACAAGCCATTATTCACATTTTGCAGAAAAAGGACTGACGCTCAGAAAGACTTTGGTTTCAGTTACTTAGTACTCTCATGACTGTGGGTATTACCTGCACCATTGCAGTCGCAATCCCTGTGATCTGCATCCTGTGTTATTCTTGTCCATCTCTCCCTCTAATTCTTCCTCTGCTTCTCTTAATACCTCCAGGGTACCAACGCAGCACTTAGGATACCCATCTCATGCTTACACATAAGTGGTGAAATCACAGAGTCACCCAATCATAGCATTTAGGTCTGAAAAGGATGGCAGGGATCATGGAAACCAAGCCCCTCATTATACATATGAGGAAACTGAGGCCCACAGAGAGGTTAACTGACTTGTCCAGTATCATAGAGGTAGAACACGGCACAGCTGGGATTTGATTCAGGTCCTCTGACTCCAAATCCTCTACTCTGTCCTCTGCACCAAGGCCGCCTCCTAAGAAATTACTTAATTTTATTATAGTACCACCATGAGAACACTGGGCTTCTGCGGCAATGGGCAACCTGGACTTAGGGAATTCAGCAAGCAGCTTCCCAAATGTGAATGAGCCAGACAGATCGTGTACTCAGTCACTGGTCCGGTTCATGGTCCATCTGTCCACGATTATTAGTCTATTCTTTCACATTGTTGTGATACCACATTTTCCTTCTGGGTCCCGAAGGCGAAGACTGAGTGAAGGAAACAAGGAAATGGACTCGTGTCGAATAGTAAGAAATTATAAAAGTGGTTTGGAGGTCTTTGGAATACAAAAGAAGACCAAAAATTGGATTTAAGGAAGAGAAATTTGAGAGAACTTGAGGAGTTAATGAGAAAGACCAAAGCAGAAGAATGAAGAGCTTCAAACTGAAGTTCAAAAAGATTCTAAAGAGAAAGCTATGAAAAGAAGGGTGAGAGCTAAAGGAGAAGGCTTCAATATGAAGAAGGTCCTGAGGAAGTAAGAACAGGAAGCACAGGTGACAGAAAGGAGAAGCTGAAGGAAGAGAAAAGCTTGACCTGAAGGAGAAGCAAGAATAGTAAGAGAAGGAGAAAGCAGTTACTTGATAGGATGATGTAACATAAGGCTGCAACACACTGGCCAAAAAAGAAGAAAAAAAGAAGATAAGATGTTAGTGAAGGACAGGAAAGGAGACTGGGTGTTTAGTCAAAGTATTAAGTAGGCTAAAGAGAAAGAGAGAATGGGTTAAAGATTCCTAATCTTTTTGTGTCATAAGAAATTTGGAGGATAGGTGGGGTGGGAGGTTATGGGGAAAGATAACATACGGGTATCTCACCCAAATCACAATCCATCCAAGCCTGCTCATCCTGTGTGACTCACTTCACCCCACCAAAACCGAAAAGGATCAGGGCTCTTACTCTCATCTTTGCTCTACGTACAGAGCTTGCCCCAAGGGCAGAGCCAGAAGATTATCTGGGGGTAAGCGATGGGAGCAGAATTGTTCCAACGGCAGCACTGGTTAGTTGAGGTTATAATTAAAGCTGGAGACAGCTATTCATGTCTCTCTTTCTTCTTTCACTCCTCTCTCTAGGCCAAATATCCCCAGTACCTTAAACCAATTCTCATTCTATGGGCTGAAGGCTCTTATCATCAGGACTGCTCTCCTTTGTACACTCTCAAGTTTATCAATGTCCTTCTTAAAAATGTGGCACTCAGAACTGAACATGTTATAGATGAGAGCAGGATCACCACCTTCTTATTCCTAGAAGCCATGTCTTTCATTAATGCAGCCCAAGGTCTCCTTTAGTGTTTTTGGCTGCTGTAACTATACTGCTGACTCATAGAGCTTTCAGTCCATTAAACCCTCTAGATCTTTTTGGTTAACTGCCATCTATCCAGGTCTTCCTTCCTCCTCATTTACCCCCATCTTATACTCAAAATCTCAGGTGCCCATATCAAGCACATGCTTTGTTCTGAAATTGCCAATGTAACAGACAAGCAAACAGCTGAACTACAAACACCAGGTGTTCTGAAACTGAAAAAATGAGCAGTTGCGGCCTTAACCTGAAATCAGACAGGGCAGAATTGCAATTCTTCTCTGAAATAACAGTAAATGTTGATTTCGTCAGTTGTAATTAACATAGGTTGATTTTTCTCTGATGCTCTAAGAAAGTGGCAATAACCACTGAAATATTTGAAAACTTTTACTGGACGAAAACTGGATTGAGATTTTTATCAGTTTCTCAAATAATCTTAAAAAAATACATGGAAAAGAGCTAACTGATAATGCAGGATAAAATGGAAAAAGCAAATGTAAATAAAAATAGGAGATTTGGTACAAAAAGTATACCAAAATGATGGCTTATGGGACAGAAAACATGTCTTACAAGTGTTGCTTCATCTTTGTACTCACCCATGTTTGCCAGAAGGCAGATGGCTGCTTGTACATCTACTCCTGCATAAACATCTGCCAGTGAACTCACTACTGGCAAACAAAGAGTGTGTACTCGAATCCTCCGCTCACCTAAACAAAGTTATGAATAAATATACATTAGAATAAAAGATGGAAAGAGAAAACTTCAGAGTTACCTAAGAAAGACTCACAATTAACAAGTCTGAAAGAACACCAAACAGCATGAAACTTTACTGTTTGATAAGTGAACACATCGACTACGCCATTTCTTAAGCAGGAGACACAGGAGGGCTTCTAGCACCCCTCTCACCAGCAGGTTTGCTTGTGATCTGGTCAGACAAGAAGACAGCTTCAGAGGGGTTAAATATGCTTATTTTATTCTAGTCTAGTCTTCTCAAAGGGAGTTAGCTGATCACGGGAGCACCAACTCCTAACATTCCCCAACAACCCTTCTTGGAGTGGCCGGCGTGAAGAGGGGGGGCAACTACCCCTCCATCTCGATGGGGTCAGTCGAGACAAGCACAACTTGTGCACGCCCCTAAAGCCCCTCAAGCCTCAATGGGGGCCGATTGAGGCAAACACACAGATTCCCCCTCTCAAAACTTGATGGGGGCTAATCGAGGCACGCACAGCATTCCAGCCTAAGGGGGTCCCCAGTCACTGACCAGTGCCCACTTGCTTTATAAGGCAACAGACAGAGAAGGCATATTTCCAGCAATAGCCTCACAATTTTACATTACCTCATCCCTGTATCTACCACGACTGTGCAGTAGAAACCATGATCATGTGAACTCATATCTAACACCTGGAAACTAGAGATTGTTATGGCTATGGATCCTGGGAAAGAAGACTCTAAGAAAGAATAACAAAAATCCACCTTTCACACACTAAAATTCACCTTACTTACATTTACGAAACAAACTATAACAATCACATTAAATTATATACCAAGGTTGAAAATCTGGATCAGACTTTTAGTGGCAATCACGTTAAGATGCAGGTGGTTTTAACCATGTTGAAATATGTCACGTTTGGTAAAATGGCAGAAAAATCAGACTACCTTGATAATGTATATAAGGCATTTCAATGCAAGAGATTTGCAAAAGGGTAGCTCTGTATTCTTAGTAGAGATAATGCTAAAGATATAACCATCAATGAGATTCTGCACAAGTCACTTGCCAAAAACATCTGTTCCTGACTAAACTAAATACTCTTTTCTGAGGCACTATTTATACTGCTGAAAGGCTAGTGTAGGCTATCTCTCTCAGATAAGAACAGTAAGTGCTCTAGAAAGCTTTACTGAAGTTCTATTTAAATTACCTTTGCTTGAGGTATATAATAGGGCAGTCTGAAAACACACCAGAGAAGTATCTGTTAAATTTTCTTCAATTGACATCTGGACTGCAAATCCAGCATCAGGATTGATGTTGGCAAGGGAAAGCAAATCAGTAGATCGAACAAAAAAATTTCCATGGAAAGTGTGTATAGAAAGACCTAAAATGCAAAAATTTAGATTTAGGTCAAAGTGACAACAGACAAAATTTACTTTAGAAGTGTACTTATTGTGTGTGGTAGAGTGAGGTGGATTGGGATCTCAAACTGACTAAAATATATCATTTAAGCTTTATACAAGACAAAGACTATAAATTTGGTTCATTCATACCCATAGTCTCAATGATATTTTACCTTATGTGACTGAGGATAAATATATATGTAATATTCTACAGCAAATGAGGTCTTTGCCCATTCATTTAATATTTGAAATGTGGTATTAGACTGCATTCTTTCAAATTCTCATAAAACCAGGGAAATAAATATAAATTGGGGATAATTCGTCACAACATTCTTAACACAATTTCATTTTAAGGGAACTTTAATTCCTTGTTTCTATCTCCACTCCACTTTGAACTGTATTTTAATTTTTTCCCTTAATAAAGCAGAAAATCAATTTTTTTTTTTTTTTACTGAGGCAACTGGGGTTAAGTGACTTGCCCAGAGTCACACAGCTAGTTTTTATGTGTCTGAGGCCAGATCTGAAATCATGTCCTCCTGACTCCAGAGTCGGTGCTCTATCCACTGCCACCTAGCTGCCCCATATTTTTTTCAAGTTTTAACAAGTATTTGACAGTAATTAGGGAGTAAGACATTGCACAAGCCAGCAAACTGTACAATTTGGAAGTACACTGGTTAGATGACATATGACTTTTTATTTGCTGGGTAACAACATTCACAAATTAAGCCATTTCAATTAAAATTTGAACAAGCAGCAGTTCAAGTTCAATTCTTTTTACCTTTTGTACACCTTATTCTCATGACTGCTTCAAATCCAATTTTCCTTGTGAGATAACGTTTTAAGTCTTTTTGCAATTTTTCTGCTTGTGAAGGATTGTGAGTATGATGAAAAGATGGGTAATAATAGATGCAACCAGCAGAATACTTGGACATGCAAGCTTGGAAAGAAAAAGATAAATATTTATTTATAGATAAAGAATCCAAACTTTTTTTGGTTCATAACTTGATAGTATGATACATTTCAGCATTTAAAATAATTTTAAAGTTAAATGGCTAGTATAGATTGGATAAAATAAGAAACTTGGGTAGAATAAAGTTAGAATAAAATATACATAATCTAAACACATAAAGTCTTAATGAAACACGTAATATCAGATTTACTGATAAACACAATGCAGACAACTAAGGGTGAATCTTAGCTGAGCTCTCTTAGCAGCAAGGCAATCCTTTTATTCTTCCCTAACTTACTCTGAAGTGTGAGAGCCATTTTGTTGATCGGAAACAAAAAAGAGGTCTGCTAACTTCCTAGAGCAGAGTTTAACAGATACTGTTTCAAAACTTGTCAGAATGGATGGCCACCATCCAGTTTTTGTGATTCATATGGACACAAATAATACTGTAGTAGAATGTAAACTATTTGAAGGCAGGAACCCATTTAATTTTTGTCTCCATATTACCAGAGATTAAGCACAGTGCAATTACAAAATCTTGGACAATGAAGTGAAGACCATAGAGGCCCAGATAGTGTCTGCCTCATTATTGCTCACTGAAGTCAAGGAAAAGTTGATTTGGGAGGTAAACAACTGGCCAAGAAAATGGCTGCTGGTTGGTGACTAGAGCACACCTATCAAAAGCTGTTAAGAATGTAATTTGCCTGGTATCTTGAAAATCTAATAAATCACCAAAAAGGAAGGGGAACAGATCCTAAGTGTATTCGACCAAGCTTGGTGCCACAGAGAGCAGCAAGGATAAAGAATAAGCAATAGAAATACCTAGAAGTTCACTGAAAACAACATTCAAGAAAGTAGCCAGTAGTAAAACCATGGTTTTAAATGCCCAAAGTTTAGGCAACAAACAAAATGAATGAGACAACCTAACGCAAAAAGTGATACTCCTAAGTATCACTGAAACTTGGTGGAATGAAATCAAATGAATGTGGTTCTGGATGGCCCTAACTTAATGAAAAGAAATAGAAAGGTAAGGGTGTAGAGTAGTGTGGAAAGGGGGTAGTGGTATATCAAAAATGGAAAACCCCAACGACTCAACTAAAAAGTTGAAACAATTAATGATCTTAGCAAAGTAACATGATATAAAGTAAATCCATATAAATCATCAGCATTCCTATATATTACAAACAAAACCCTTCAAGAAGAGAAAGAAAGAGATACTCTGTTTAAAATAACATAGACATACGTTTGTGAGTATACCTACCAAAACAAATCCAGGAACTATATGAACAAAATTATAAAAAACTTTATGCAAATAAAATCAGATTTAAATAACTTGCGAAATATTAATTGTTCATGGGTAGGCAGGGCCAATACAGCAAATACAACAATTTTACCTAAACTAATTTATATATTCAATGCCATCCCAATTAAATTATCCAAAAATTATTTGACTGAATTAGAAAAAACAATAACAAAATTCATTTAGAAGAACAAAAAGTCAAGAATATCAAAAGAACTAATGGGGAAAAAAAAAGTAAAGGAAGGTGGTTTAGCAGTACCAGATGTTAAACTATAAGGTAGTAATTATCAAAACTATGTGATATTGGCTAGGAAACAGAAAGATATACCAGTGGAATGGAGTAGACATACAATTTACAGCAGCAAATAAACACAGTAACCTTGTATTTAACAAGTGTAAGGACGTAAGTTTTTGGGAAAAGAATTCATTATTTGGTAAAAATTGCTGGGAAAACTGGAAAGCAGTATGGCAAAAACCAGGTACAGACCAGTATCTTACACGATTTACCAAGATCAGATCAATACGGTAGCAGCACTGTGTATTCGGAATGTTTACATAAGGAAATTCAGAAACAAGAAGGGGGAAGTATGGTGGAGAATGTCTGGGTGACAAATTAATAGAAGACAAATAGAAATGATTTTGTCACTGGAGACACTACACCACAGACCACCTGGGCAGAAAGATGAGTTCAGGAAAGATCACAAGCCTGGCATGGAGATGTAACATAGTAGTGAAGGTAGGGCAATATCTAGATATTTGCTGGAGTTCTCTCTGTTAAAAGCAGAGCAACTTACTTCCCAAACAGCATTAATTGGAATTTCTTGCTCCCACTAGTAAATAACAAGGAATCTTTGCTGGTTTTTTGGGTTGGGGGAAAAATAGGACAATGACACTCTCTGGGTGTAGATCACTATCCACATTATCAGACTTGGTTCATGTGCTAGTTGATTCTGCTGGACTGTTTTTTCCTCTCCTCTTAAAATATTTGTTATAAGGGATATCTGGGGAGGTGGGGCTATATTGGGAAATGCATGGTGTAAAAATAACACTTTTTTTTTAATAGAAGAAAAAACCCCACTGTTCCCTTACTTCCCAAAGATTCAGCTTGACTTTAGCAAAAATAGAGGTCATGCCAGACTACCCTTGTTTCCTTTTTAGACAGGTTTACTAAATTAGTAGCTTAAGGGAATTCTGTCAATTTAATTTACCTACACTTTAACAAAGCACAAAGTTTCTCATGCCACTCTTATGGCAGATATGGTGAGAAGCAGGGCATATGATAACACAACTAGATGGATTTGGGACTGGCTGAAAAGTATGTGCTTGAAGGACAGTCTTTAATGGCTCAATATCAACGTGGAAGGGCTGCAATAGTGTGTCCCAGGGATCTGCATTTGGCCAACATGGGTTTAACATCTGAATCAATGCTCTAGATAAAGGCGTACATAGCATGCTTCTCAGATCTGCAGATGACAGCATCAAACTGGTATATAAATAAGACACTAGATGACAGGGTCCATAAAGGTTCTGATGGGCTAGCAAACTGGACAGGATCTACTAAGGCAAGATGTGTTAAGGGCAAATCTAAAGCATTCTACAACAGGACAAGATCACAGAGGCATGGTCAGATAGGAGCTTGTGTGAAAAAGATGGATGGGCTTTCATGGTCTTCGAGCTCCATGTGGGCCAGCACAGCCAGAAAAGCCAACAGCACTGTGGTCTGCTTTAAAAGAGGCTGAGCTGCTAGGGACAAGGAAGGCCACGGCTCTCCTGGGCTGTCTCCTGGGCAGACCACGGCTGCATTCAGTCTGGATATGTAGTTTGGGAAAGACATCAATGAACTAAAAAGCTTCCAGAGGAGAGCAACCAGGATGGTGAAGGGCTATGAGGACTGGTGGAAGGAACACAGCAGGGTTGGCTTGGAAATGAGAAGACTGGAGGAGGCACAGAATCGCTGGCTTTGGGTATTTGAGGGGCTATACGTGGAAGGGAACAGACCTATTCCATTTGACCACTGAGGACAGATCCAGGAGTAATGGGTAGAAACTTATGTTTGCTAAGAGGCAAATTGAGGCTTAATTTTTGGGGAAAAAAACCCCAAATAATTAGAGCTATTTATAAATGGAATGGGCTGCCTTGACAGTGAATACAGTGTAGACTTGGATTTAAGAGACTTGAGTTAGAATCTTGCCTTGGACACCCAACAGCTGTGGGACACTGGGCAAGTCACTCAACCTCTATGTGACTCAGTTTCTTCATCTGTAAGACAGGGATAAATCCTAAAGCACTATATAAATGAGTAGTTGTTATTATTATTATTATTATTACTTGATTGTCTTTATTGCAGGTCTTCTAAAAGAAGGAAAAGTGTTTACTGAAGATGTTGTAGTGGGGTGCTTCTTTTACTTGGACAAAAATGGGGGAGTCCCTTCTAATTCTAAAATTCTGTAAACACATTTTTCCCCTCCAATGTCATACTTCAAAACCTTTTTCATTGTGCTCAATTTTTTTCTTTCCTTCCTGCCAACAAGACCAACCTTTACACAACCGACCCTAGAGAACTTAAACAACTGCTCTTTACATTACCAACAGCTTCAACTGATAAACCTATAGGCCTTTTCTTGGCCTTTATTCTACTTGACCTCTTTCGTGGCTTCTGATGCCGTTGACCATACCCTCACCCTCCTGGACATAATGCTCATCTGTATAGAACTTGCCTGACCCTTGCTCTTTCCCTTGGCTCTTTTCCTAACAGTCAGACCTTTCCTTCTCAGTCTTCCTTGCTAGATTATCATGTTCCCTATCCACTATGTGTAGGTGTCACTCAATATCCTCTTATCTTCTCTGATCTCTCCATTATCCTCTCTATGTAAATCATTCTGAAATTCATACATCAGCCCTAGTCTCTTTCACCAACTGCCTATTGGACACTGGATGTCTCATACTCAATATATTCAAAAGAGAACTTACCATTTGCTTTACCAATCCTACCACTATTTCTACTGACAGCACCACCATCCCTCCGGCTACAAGGGTTTGCAATCTTGGAGTTATCCTTGACTTTACTTTCTCTTACCCAATATCCAATGCCATGCCTTGTGAACTGCACCCCTACAACATCTTTCATATATACTCCCTTCTCTCCACTAAACTGAGAAACCAAGCAGGAGGCTACTCCAATAGTTAAGGCAAAGAACAATGACTGGTTCCAGCACTCCCAACCTCAAAGCATCCTCTCACGAAATAGATATTTTTAAAACCGATCTCCCTAATTCACTCCCCTATTCATAAATTTTGACTATTTTCACTAGATAAAGTTTAAAATTCACAACCTGTCATCTAAAACCATTTACAATGTAACTCCCACTAATTTTTCCTATGTTACTCTCTTCTCTCTAGGTTTTTTTGTGACACTGCTCTCTCCTTGTTTTTTTCCTCCTACCTCTCAGAACATTTCTTCAGAGCATCTTTTAAGGTGGATCTTCATTTAGGTCATAGACCTATTAACTTGGGGTATTCCCCAAGACTCTCTTCTCTCTATATGTGATTTCACTAAATGATCTCATCAGCTCTCACAGTTTCAACTATCATCTCTATGTAGATGAGTCTCAGATTTAATCATCCAGCTCTGGTCTTTCTCTTGATCTCATTCTTACTCCCTGCTAGACATTTCAAAACGGATGTCGTGTAGACTAGTTGAACGTGGCATATCCAAAACTGAACTCATTATCTTTCCTCCCCAAACCTTCTTCTCTTCTAAGCTTCCCAATTGCTATGGAGGGCACCACCATCCCACAGTCACTCAGCGCACCTAGGCGTCATTCTTGACACCTGACTCTCTCATCCACACTCAAACAGTTGCCATGTCCTGTTATTTCTTCCTTTACAACATTTCTCTCATATGCCGCCTCATCCCTTCTGCCCCTGCCACTGTCCTGATGCATGCCCTCCTTAACTCATGCCTGGATCATTCTAACAGTCTTCTGGTTGGTGAGCCTGCCTCAATTCTCTCCTGATTCCAGCCAGTCTTCCGTTCAGTTATCAAACCGATCTTCCTTAATTAAACACAAGTTCCATCGTGTCACTCTTCTATTCAGTCACCTGAAGTGGCTCCTGGTGCCACTTATTCCAGGACCAAATAAAATCCTCTGTTTGACTTTTAAAGATCTTCACGACCTGGCCCCTTCCTACCTTTCCGGTCTTCATCTTTGCCTCTCTGAATCCCTAACTTTCCTCAAAGTCCAGGTTTTCCAAGAGTCCAATAAGTACTCTGTTCTTCCTGAAATTACTCTGTATTTACTTTTGTGCTTATGCACCATTAGGTCAAAGGACGGCTTGTTTTTGTCTTGGCATCACAAGCACCTAGAACATAATGCCCTGCACATGATGGGTACTTAAAATGTTTGATGAACTTAATTTTTCTCACATAT